TATATATATATATATATATACGGTAAAGTTTTTTTTTATAATCTCAAGTTGATTCATGTACATCAGAATCATCGAAGAATAATGCAAAAAATTTTTATAAGATATTTAAACGGAACGTCGGAGACACTTTTTCTATACAAATTCTATAAAATAAATAGAATAAGGAAAGAATGATAGAATCTTTATTAAATACAGAAAGAATCAAATCAAATTGAAATTAAAGAAATTGTACTTAAAATTTAACAATAAAACTCGAATGTGTTATACATATATGTCACATGAGATATAATTTTACTTATTTTATTTTTTTTGTTATCAACGACAGTTCGTTTTATGTTCTATGCCGAAAGTCAATTTCGTCTTTTAAGAGGTAACTGACTGTTATTCTCGCAATCGTAAAATCAAGGCGCAAGTATAATGAAAATTTACGATGATACTCAACTCACCGTTTCCGGAGTTGTGGATAGCCTTGATAGCCTTCTTGAGCTTTGTGAGACCATCCCTATCGAAGTCCAAGGTCTGAAAGAAGAAAATAACAATGATAATACAATAAAATATGCAAGCTAGTAAAATGATAATTTCTTGAGCCATGTCTACGAAATTTTGTTAATGCGATCGGTCTTGCATTTTAATAAGCATTTACGTATCGTGCGAGTAACATAAATGTAAAATATATTAAATGATCTTTTTTCTGGTAACAAAGGACATACTCTAAGATTTTATTATTTTAATTGTGTAAATATTTTGAGAATATTAAAAATGACGATAGAATTGAAAAAATAACGTTTCCATAATTTCATTTTTTCATTTGTACACAAAAATTGTGTAACACTCTAGGAGCGCGTTTTCAGCGTTATCAGTAAATTCTATGCTTATTTCGCGTTTAATGAACGTTAAAGATAGAATGACGCATTAGCACTGAAAGTGCGTTTCTGAAAACGCAACCTGTATCTTTTACTGATAACGATTTAAAAAATTGTAACAAAATTACAAAATATTTAACCTAAAAAATTGTTAATAACTTGGTAAAAATATCAAGAATTTAACTCGCAACGAAATTAATTTCAGAAATTTCACACATTTCAATATTAATGAAATTTTAATGGAGATATTTAAATCACAAGGCACATTAAATAACTTTAATAACTTTAATATCTTTTTCGTAAAATTTTAATTATATCAGTAATCTTTCAAAAATGAGTTCTTTTGCAAGATTTCAAAGAAAATTGTATAAATACTAATTCAAATATTCAAATTTCACGCAAAATACATCCCGAATTTCTGCGGAAGTCATAAATCTGGATATGTCTTTCACCCAAATTCGTTACGGATTCGTGAATCCGGATATCCGGTTAGCTTTAAGCTCCTCATGTGCTTTAAGCCGCTTTTATCAGCTTTGCTAATAGAGGAGGGAATAAAGATATGAGTAAAACATTATGCTCGTAAGATGATTACCAGCTGTAATTTTATTGCATGTTAAGAGCTAAAATCCTAAATCCTAAAGCGATTGTCGTTTATTTACTCCATTTGACAATAAGAAGACGATATACTGAAGATATATATTTAGTCTTTTATTTGAGCTGCGATGTTTGAATCGCATTCACGTATGATGCATCACTCGTCGTTGCATCTTTGTAAGTCAAATCGGCGTGGTCATGTCGCACTTTATTTTAGTGCGGATGGAAAGAAATAGAAGCAAGGTGAGGCGTACGAAGTACAGATGTTAAAAATAAAATATACTTGATACAACAGTCAAATAATCTTTTCTACATATATGTTCATCTAATTTATTTCCACAGCGTATAAAAACACATTGGCAGACGTAGGAGAGGATTTGGAAGGTTCAATTCCCTAAAATTTTAGTTATAAAGAAATATGACTTTATATTTGATTCAACTGTTTACTTTTCTACTTCTACTTCTACTTCTACGACTTTACTTTTTATCTTTGATCTCGCGAAGATGCTATTAACGCTATTTGTGTCATTTTATCTTCATCATCCATAAGACAAGAGTAGTATTATACAAATGGCGCTAATAGCGCGTTCCTTGAATGCATCCTATAAATCCTGTGTTAAAACGCTTTATAAAAAAAAATAATCTCATAATTTTGTAAATTATATTAAATTATTTTCCCTTATTCAGCATTCCTCTTTTCTTTTTATTTAATTTTAATTTAATATCACATTTTTTCAATAATATTCAGCATTGTTTCTCAGCAGACTTTTTTGTAATCTTTTTTGAATTTGTTTTTTTAGAAAAATGATCATAAATATTTTGTATGTAATAATAAATAGCAATATTAAAAAGCTACACATTTCATTTTTAATAACTGTATTTTGCTTTCTTCAGAAAAAAAAATAAAAATTATGATTTACAAATGTAATATTTTTCCATTCAAGAATGAGGAGACATTCTAAGCTCTAATATGTAAAAAAGCAATTTATTAATGCAAAAAAATTACTATTTATGTGATAACAAAATGATAATCTCTCTGAAAAAAATTTTGGATATGCAAACGCGTTGCATCTCAAAAGACTAAACATACAATTATTTAAGACAAATAAATATATAAAATAAAAGATATTGATACATCGATTAACTAACAATAAGTACGAAATTTTCCACCGAAGAGAAGATATAAATTTTAAAAGAAAGAAAGCATCGTACTTATTGTACTTATTGTATATCGACCATCTCTGTAGCGTGCGAAACAAATCGCACGCGAACAGAAAGCAAAAAAACAAAAAATGGGACAATATGAAATATAAAGAGAAAAGATGAAAGAAAATAAGCAAAAAGAAAAAAAATATCGAGCCTCGCAATGATCGAGAACGTCTGAACGCGCCGGGAATTTGCGCTGCGTACGAGTAATAAAAACGACGGATGTTATACTGAAATAGCATCGTTCGACGACGACAAATACCGATAAGAGTTTAATAAGCGAGCGAGTGTAAGGAACACGCGCGTGATTAACGCACGGTAGGATGCGACGCGACGAACAAATTTAATATGCAACATATAATGAACAGACACAGAGATTCGCGAATCGCACAAAATTATTAACGCATTCATTTGCCGACGCAATTATATCCGAATGTCCAGTACTACGGACGGTTCATATCTCATGGGAATTTCTCCGAAATACACTCTTTCATTTTTGATCGCACCTCTCAAATACGGAGTTATTAAAATAATATAAGAAATATATAGAAGGTAATTCCTATTTTCTAAAGTACAAATAATTAAAAGTGATATTTCTTGACTTACTTTAGGAAGAAAAGTGTCCTATGTGTGAACATATGTCCTAAATTACTTCAATTATTTTCAAAGTATAGGGTGTCAAAATTAATATATCTAAAATCAATTTATTTAAATTTATATAGATGTATTAGTCCAACATCTCACTTATTTAACCGTAAGTGATATTTCTGTTATTTATACCAGTTTCTACCAATGTGTTTAATTTTAATCTTAGTTCAATAAACTTTTTATCTTTATCTAGTTCTAATAAAGAAAAAGATGAACAATAAGTTGAACTAAGATTAAAGTTAATCTATATTAGTAGAAACTTTAGTGGACATTAGTGGAGTTATTCATGTGATGATCTTGTTTCTAATTTATTATTGAGAAAAAAATGAAAATTTTCTCAAACTGAAAAACACTTAGAGATATATTCAATTGTACGTTATACATTTTTTTTAATACAGATGAAATATTTTTACATTCATCAGAGGCACGTGTATAAAATATACCCATTCATGTTACGGAAATTCATGTTATGAATACTGTACGAGATAGTTTAAGACATATGTTCATAGGATCTTTTTAGCCTAAAATAAGCCAAGAAACATTCCCTTCAATTTTTTGTGCATATTTATGCCCGTATTTATAGTCAGGCCTTATATTTAATTCCTTCTTTAAATTTATCTTCAGATGTTCTATGAATTATTTTATTGGTTACTGAGCATCTAAAGATAAATTTAAGGAAGCCTTAAATATAACGTCTGAATGAACTATGAATACGAATATTAGAAATCATCCTAATTTGAAAGAGTTTAGTTTAAAAGTTTGTAAAGAATATTATTGAGAATACATTATGAGAATTTTAGATAATTTATGCCTGATGTTATTTTCTAGGGAAAACTGAAATAAGTTTTTCAACTTTAAGACTCGCAAAAAAGACACGCGAGTAGTTTCTTTAATTGTTTGAAAAATCGAATCTATTCGATTTTCTTTTTATATTAATATTGAGCCATTCGTATTGCACAATATCTAATCTATTAATAATCATTCTCTTTAATTAGTAACTTTTCATATTTGACTAAATTTTCATTCATCGGAAAAGCGCGAACGTGCGCGTAATGCGTATCTAACGCAATTATTTTCGTCCACACGGCACGTTAGAAAAAAAAAAATCCGAGCGAAGAAAGAGAAATAGAATACGTTGCCGGTCGGCCTTGCCGGATGGAGTCTCTCGGCAGCTTTCGGATCGGGGCAACCGGCCGCGGCTGCAGCGATGTGTTTCGCCGTCCTTGAGGCTCTCAGAGAAGGCCGCGCACGAGTCCATAGAGCAAAACGACTCTCAACTTCGTCGGGATCGGTATTCTCGCCTCCACCACGCCCGCGACCTCTCTTTTTTTCCTCTCGCCTCCCTTCCTATCCCCGGAACCGGACGAGAGAACCGGGAAGATAATTGTGTGTGTACGTGCCTTTGGGATGTGGGCCTTATGTTTCGCTGTCTTACGTGCTCGCACGCAAGTATATTGTCAAGAAATACTTGTGAATTTAATAAGAGAGGTTCCCATACCCGAGAAACGTTTGTTTCTCAAAAAATTTTTATAAAACAGAAAATTATAGGCTTGTAAAATGAACATTTTTTTTTATTACCAAAGAAGATAAAGAAAATTGTTTCTTATAATAATAATATAATGAAGTATACAATATTAATAATAAATAATATTATTATTACTGTTAAAGTATTGTAAAGATAACAATGATAAATGAGAAATTTGATTAATCGAGAGGCGTTTCAGAATTGTGATTCATAATAATAGGGGGATGAGAGCTTCATATCTCTTCCTATCGGTCGTTTGAATACTATTTCACGAGCGTAATAAATGACTCACTGATCAAATTTTTTGATCAGAATCTCTTAATCATCATGAGAATCATACAAAAACAACTATACTAAAAGTTTAAATAATCGAAAAAATGGCGTAATATTATAATCACAATAACAATTAAATAACACATTTCATAAAAATATTTGTTGTCCCTTAATAGTGACGTGTCATTTTATAAAGCCGCGAAAGTAAACGCGGTACAGTAAACAGGTAAATTTTAATTTTCTAAAACTAAAAATTATTGAATCACACTGAAAAAAAATGTTTAATTTTAAGATATTAAAATGTTTTATTCTTGACTCCATTTTTTAAATACTTAAAGGTGTTTGTCGAAATTACGTTGTTTAGATTTAAAACGCATAGTGTTTTAAATCCAAATACGTAGTATTTTGTC